TGACGCATGCGCTGTGCTGGTTGGGATCGGAGAAGAATTGTAGTGTCGAGTTCTTCAAGGTCATCCTACCTAGAATAGGTACCGCCCCCGTTGAGAACCAATGATCTATCCTGTTCTGGTGGTTCTGGTGGTTCTGGTGGTTTGTACTTCTGGCATCTCCTAGGATGCCTCACCATTTTTCAGCCTTTGCAGCAGGAGTCAGAGGTGGCCTCTCCAATGGGACTGCTGTTAGCGTACAGATGAATGGTGAGCAGGTCTTCTTGCTCGGCTCATTCTCTCGTAGGCCATTCATGTAAGCAGGCTGAGTTCACTCCATGCACGCCAGCCGAATGGGATTTGGTGCGTTGCGTCAACCCAGTCACTGTAGTTTCTACCCAAGCTTTATGGCAAGGGTGGCAAGCCTCTCCAGACACAATTACTGTAATTGGCAGAATTATTTCCTGCTATTTTGAGGCAGGAAATACATGAGCAATATAAAATCCTGAAATAGACTTGTTGTAATTACATGTAAAGACACACACCCATTCTCAGTTTTAAAACAGAAAATCCTGGCCTCATGCATCATATGTTATATGCCCATCTTTACAACATACATCATATGCCAACTTTACAACATAAATTTAGAGAATAAGATAGTCGATTATGGATAATTCAGTAAATCATGATTAAACAAACCATGCGTTAATGTGATATGCAAACCCAGAAACAGGAATGCTACTACAGAAAGGATTTCATCCTCCAACTTTATTTCTCAGTAGTGCAGTATAAAGCCCCAATGGGCAAACTAATAGTATTTTAAAAGTTCGGAACATAATCACTGGTAGCACTTGCAAAGACACCCCTACCCCATTCAACCACTGTCTGGATTTGTGTGATACAACAAATAATAAACAAATCATATGGACCAAATTCAGATAACACTCTAGGCTGATGTAGGGTTAGCAAGTTTGTGACTCAGTCCTTTGTACCTATCCAGCAGTAGGGTTACTTCAGTTGAACACAGTAGCATATTCTGCTAACATAGTAATTCTGTCTTCTTAAAGACCTCCAGTCGGACTAGTAGCAGGAACTTCAGAGTTCACCTCATTTGACGGCAGGGGCCACTGGCTGCCTCTTCAGCTTATTGTTTTGTTGTGAGGACAGAATGAGAAGGGCAGGGAAGATAAGCCCGTACAGACATCTGGGTTCATTAAAGGAAGGCTGGAACATAAATGAAATGTATACAACTTTGCAGGAAACCAGACAGATTGCATATAGCTCTAAGCTCAGCAGAAGTTGGCATTGACCAAAAAGGGAACAGGGCTTCTGGGAATTTGAATTTTTTTACATATTTGGTACTCCCATAATGAAAACAAGTGCACATACTACACAAAAATATGGTTGCTGAATCATGGTTTAACTGAATAAGCCATATCTGATTTGGTTTGCACAATATGCCATGCCATAAACCAGGGGTGTCCAACCTTTTGGCTTCATTGGAAGAAGAATTGTCTTGGGCCACACATTAAATACACAAACACTAACGAAAGCTGATGAGCAAAAAAAGGTCTGTGCATAATTTTCGTGATATCCGCCACCACAGATAAGCAAAAAGTCCTCACATAATAATCCTAATTATGCGGCGCCCCGTTTGGAGAGTCTTTTAAAATCGTCGAGCAGGTCCCAAGTTTGCGATCACTAATATAGAAAACGAACATATCTAAGTAATAAAACTTCATTGATTTTTTTTGATATTTTTTATTATAAAAGTAAAAGAAAAGAGGGCAACATAAAACTAGTGGGATATTTGACATTGTATTTGAGAAACTAACGCATCAGTATCTGGTTCGATGGAAGAAGTGGCAATTCTCAGTGAGTTCT